TTATTTCTTTCTTTCTCTCTCTCTCTCTCTCCCTGTTTTTCTCTCTCTCTCTCTCTCTCTCTCTCTCTCTCTCTTGCTCTCTCGCGCTCTCGCTTTTTTTTTCTTTATTTTTTCTTTCTCTCTCTCTCTCTCTCTCTCTTTCTATCATTATCTCTCTCTTTCTCTTATTTCTCTCTCTCTCTCTCTCTTTCCTCTCTCTCTTTCTTTCTCTCTCTCTCTCTGTCTCTCTCTCTCTCTCTGTCTCCCTCTCTCTCTCTTTTTCTCCTTCTCTCTCTATTCGTCTCTCTCTTTCGCTCGCTTTCTTTCTCTCTGTCTCTCTCTCTCTCTCTCTCTCTATATATATACACATATATATGTATCGTTATATTTCTCTGTTATGTGTTTCTCCCTCTTTCTTTCTTTCTCTCTCTCTCTCTCTCTCTCTCTCGCTCTCTCTCTCTCTCTGTCTGTATCTCTCTCTCTGTCTTTCTTTCTTTCTTCCTCTCTCGCTCCCTCGCTCTCTCGTTCTCTCTCTCTTTCTCACTATCTCTCTCTTATTATGTCTCCCTCTCTCTCTTTCTCCTTCTCTCTCTCCCTCTCTCTCTCTGTCTCCCTATCTCTCTGTCTCTCTCTCTCTCTCTCTCTCTCTCTCTCTCTCTCTCTCTCTCTCTCTCTCTCTCTTCTTACTCTCTCTCTCTCTCTCTCTCGCTCTCTTTTCTCCTTCTCTCTCTCTCTCTGTCTTTCTCTCTCTCTCTCTTTTTTTCTCGCTCTCTCTCTCTCTCTCTCTCTCTCTCTCTCTCTCCCTCTCTCTCTCTCTCTCTCTTTCTCTCTCCCTCCCTCTCTCTCTCTCTCTCTCTCTCTCTCTATATATATATGGTATATATATACACCCATACGACCGCCATTCTGGTGATAAGGAGGTTCTGGGGGGGGAGGAACCAACGTCCCACCTGTTCGGTTTCACTATCGATCTTACCTTCGATATCACTATCGGCCTTGCCCGATTGATCTCACTCGATCGATTCCACAATCGATCTCTCTCGATCTGATCCGATCTGATCTTTTCGATCGATCTCACAATCGGTCTGACAATCGATCTCACTATCGACCTCACACTCACATTCTGTCTAACGGCCGACCTCACTAGCGATATCACAATCGATATCGCAATCAACGGCATCATCAACATCATCGTCATCGACGTCATCAGCATCAGCATCATCAACATCATTGGGACACCATCATCATCAGCTCATCACCATCATCATCAACATCATCATCACCATCATCATCATCATCGGAACACTATCATGTCACCATCATCATCAACAACGTCATCATCATCGGGACACCATTACCATCATCATCCGAACATCACCAGCATTACCATCATCACCCCATCATCATGGTCAGGAAGAACATCACATCCTCAACCTCATCATCAACATCGGGTTACCATCATCATCATTAGCAACATCATCATCGTATGAATCATCATCGGAACACCATCATCACCGTCACCATCATTGCATCAGCACCATCAACATTTTCGGACCACCATCATCATCATCAACGTGAGCATCATCATCACCATCATGCGGCCGCCATCATCTAAAGCATCATCATTACCCCATCATCAACATCATCATTATCGGGACACCATCATCGCCATCATCAGCAACATCATCATCGGGACACCATCATCATCACCATCATCATCAACAGCATCATCATCAACCTCATCATCATCCTCATCATCGGGACACCATCATCATCATATTCATCACCACAATCATCATCAAATCATCGGGCCATCATCAACATCACCAGGATGATCAACAACATCACCACCACCATCATCACCAGGGCACCACCAGCAACATCATCATCATCATCAACATCATCATTTGGGCACCAGCATGATCACCACCATCACCATCATCATCATCATCAACATCGCCAACGTCATCTTCATCAGGGCACCATCATCATCACCACCATCACCATCATCATCATCACCATCATCGTCAACATCATAAACATCATCATCATCATCATCATCATCATCATCATCATCATCATCATCATCATCATCATCGGGACACCGACGGGAAACCAGCGGGACACCGGCGGGACACCGCGCGCCACCGGCCCCCGGGCGGGACACCGGCGGGACACCGCGGGGCATCAGTTGCCGGAACGGAGACTTTTGGCCCAGCCGCGCCTCAGCTACAGGAGGTTTATTTCTCGCCGGAGACACCGGCGGGACACCGCGGGGCCCCGGTTTCCGGAACGGAGACTTTTGGTCCGGCCGCGCCTCAGCTACAGGAGGTTCACTTCTCGCCCGCCCACGCAGCTTCGCCTCGCCCGCGCGCGCGGCACGCACGAACGCGAAACCGAAATCGATTTCCCGGTAGGGGGGCTCTCCGTTCCACTTCGATCTCACCCCCTCACCTCCGATTTCTGTCTCTCTCTCTCTCTCTCTCTCTGGCCCTCGGGGCTACAAGACGCATCTGCGCACTGCCTACGCACTGGTGCCAAAGTTGCCCAACTCTCGGAAGTCCAGATCGCGCACCAGAAGAGCGACGGTATCACGACCGCGGAGCGCAAACTGCCTGAATTCTACGCGACGCGCAAAGCGGCGCTGCCGCGCTCGGAGGTCGAGCACCCCAGCGGCACCGTGTTCGAGGGCGACATCATCGAGGTCGATCGCTCCCGCCTGGCACGCAAGATATCGACGGGCGGCGCGACGAGCCACCAGGGCTGTCTGCTCGCAGCGAAGGGGCGTTCCCCACAGAAGTGGACGGCAGCGATACTGCCGACGAGGAATTCCAAGGCGAAGCGCGGGTCTGGCGGCCCAGACTCGCTGGCGGAGGTGCGAGGCCCCCTTGCTCGCGCCACGGGCAAGGGCGCGGCGTTGGCGCCCGACGGCGCCAAGGCTTTCCACTCCGCCGCCGCGGAGATCGGCGCGCCCAGCCTGCCGAGCGCGAAACGCCAGGCCAAAGTCTCCACGCCCGTGACGAGGCTGCTGAAGAGCAAGCCCCCGAAGCGCACGGCCGCCACGTTGAGGCGTCACTCCAGCGGCCAGGCGCCTGCCGCCCAGGAAACGAAGCCGCGCTTCGAGCTCGCGGCGGGGGCTCGCTCCGCGGAGCCGGCGCAGGGGCGCGCGAAGAGCACGACGCGCCGCGCGGGCAACGTGGGCGGACGCAACGCCAGCGAGACCAAGAAGGTGATCCAGAGTCTGCAAAGCGCAGCCTTGCCGAGGCGCGCGGGCGTTTCCAGCGCGTTAGACGCGCTGCGCCGCCATCGCGTCGCGCTGGCCGCCGGCGACGCGCAGGTGCCCCCGCGCGAGCGCTTCCGCGCGGAGTCGCGCGTTTGGGCCGTGGCCGACGAGAAAGGAGAGGCGACCTGAATTATGTTTTAGGGCGGGCGCATAGGGGCGCAAGCATGCCGCAGCGCGCCGCCGCCACGGCTAGCAGACAGCACGCTCGCGCGCAGAGGGCGCGCGCGCGACGCGCAACATGCAGCCGTCTTCATCGTCGTCGTCAGTTCAGCCGTCATCGGGGGCCTCTTGGCAGGATCCACAGACAATCATGAGGAGACGCACGCGGGCGCAAACGCACACGCGCAGAGAACAAGAGAGGGAGGATGCTGATAAAAAGGGGGGAGGAAGAAGCGGACTCGTCTGGGCAAACCACCGCGCTTTGTCGCAACATTGCTATCCTTTCCCTCCTTCTCCTCCTCCTCCTCCTCGTCCTTCCCCCTTCCCCCTCCATCCTCCCTCCTCTCCCCCCCTCCCGTTTTCCCCTTCTTCGCTCCCCCTCCTTTTCCTCCCCCTCCCTCGTCACTCCTGCTTCCTCCCCTCCTCTCTACCTCCTTCTGTTATCCTCCTCCCCTGTCTTCCCTTCCCCCCCCCCCGCCCGCGACCCACCGCAGCGCGAAGCATCACAAACACAATCGCAACGCAACGCAATTCAACACAACGCAACGCAACGCGTTCTAACGCAGCGCAAAACAATGCAACGCAACAGGGCACAACGCAATGTAATTCATCGCAGCGCAAAGCAATGTCACGCAAAGCAGCGCAACGCAATACCTCCTCCCTTTTCCCTCCCCCCCGTCTTCTGGCACCGGAGAAATTTTTTACCCCCCCACCGCTCAGGCATTCACCCCCTCCTTTCCCAGGGTAAGGACAAATTTGTTTGAACCCCCAACGCCCAGGCCCCGAGACGGCGTCGATGCCCCCCCCCTTGCAGGGCCAGAAAAATTGTTTTGAACCCCCAAGGTCCCTTGACACGGCGTCCACTGCCCCCCCCCCTTTCCCAGAGCCCAAACAAGCGCTTTGCACCCCCATGGCCCGGACCTTGAGACGGCGTCGACTTCTTCCCCCTTCCCGGGGCCAGAAGTTGTGTTTTGAACTCCTAACGTCTGGGCCCCGCGACGTCCCCCCCCCTTCTCTGGGCCAGAAAAAAATTGCATTGAACCCCCGACGCCCAAGCACCGAGACGGCGTCGATCGGCTAACTCTTTGCACACCACTCACACGGATCGTGCCTCCAGGGCGAGAACATTTTTTGATGCGTTGTGAAACTTGTTTTGAACCGAACTCATTGTTTCTTGACCCTCAATAAGAATTGCTTGTATCCCCCACCCGCGTGCCTCTGGGAAGCGCAAGCGAAGTTATGGATGCGAGTATTGCGAAAGCGGCTTCCGCATCTGTAGGGACTCATGGGGAGGAACTTGGGACAGGAGGGTGTATTGCAGCATCGGTAATGCATATTTGGTCTGCTCTTGCCCCTCCTCCACCTGGTCCTTCTCCTCCTCTTTCTCCTCCTTCTCCTCCGCCTCCTCTTCCTTCCACTCTTCTTCACCCTTGTCCCTCCTTCTCCCCCCTCCTCCTCCCCCTCCCTCCTCACGCCTCCTTCTCCCTCCTCCCGCGTCTCCTTTCTCTCGGAGCGCGTCTTGCCTGGCGGACTCTCGAGCGCCGAGGCCATCGGGAGGCAGTTGCTGCGGACGCTGCAGATGGCCAAGGCGCCCCGTGCACCAGTCCTCTCGCCGGAGGTGTGCGGCGTGGCAGGATCATCTCTGGATGAAGCAGGAGGAGGAGCAGGAGGAGGAGGAGCAGGAGGAGGAGGAGCAGGAGGAGGAGGAAGAGGAGGAGGAGCAGGAGGAGGAGGAGGAGGAGGAGCGCGGCGCGACAGGATTTTCAGACCCATATCGGGCAGCGCCAGAGGTCAGCACTGAGAGGGCTAACAGTTCCTCCGGAGGGTCGCGGTTCCAGGGTCGAACCTCGAGGAGGTTTTCGGAGGTTTGGGGTCGTTTGGGGGGAGCTCTGGAGTGCTCGCGGGGCGCTACACGCCCTCGAGAAGATGGCGTTTGGTCGAGGAGGTGGCGACCCCCCTTCGTGGAGGCCCCCCCTCGCCTTTGCCCTGGATTGTCGGACGCGGAAGATCAAAAGGCCTTCAGGGCTTGTGGGAGGCCCGACCTCCATTCTGGACGTTTTTCCCATCCACGCTGCATGCCTCTTGCCCCCCAAGATGGAGACTCGACCTCCGGCACATGAACATAATATTCACACCTTCGCACACTTGAGAGGGAAATGTTCATCACCCCCTGTTGATTTTAGAATGGGTGGTGTTTCGGGGGTTCGAAAATGTTTGTCATCCAGTGCCCTCTCCAGTGCCGCACCCTCACTATCTTTATTGGGAGGGTCTGGGGTGGGGGGCATCTTGCGCCGCAGGGCTCGAACTTTGTTGTCCACGTGCGGTCCAGAATGCAGTGTGTCGATCCCCTGGGGATGGCGCTTCGCCCCCCTGGAAGCGCCAGGATGGCCGCGCGCCGCGGGCCCGCGCCCCGGGCCGCGGAGGTGCCCCTCCTCGCGTCCTCGCGGGGGCGCGAGGAGCAGCGCGCGCCGCGCGTCGCGGAGCGCGGCACACGAGGTCCAGTGGCGTGGTGCTGGTAGGGCGACGAGAGCTGCAAGTATGAAAGAGCGCGTTCTGTGGGCGCTTGGAGAGGGGGGGGGCGTCCGGAACTGCCCCCCCCCACAGGGTTCAAGGTGGGGGATTCGATTCGAACCCCCCCTCCTGGGGCGTCTTAAGACCCCAGGGGGTGTTTAGACGCCCCAGAAGGTCTAACATGCCTATATACATACATACAGACATGCATGCATACATGCATGCATACATGATTGCAGTGATTCCTCGACGCGCGGGGGCTCTGGCTTCAAGCTCTCATTCGGCGGGCGCCCTCGCGCGCCCGTCTCTCCCGCGCACCCTCCAGCGGATGCTCGCCTCGCTTCTGGCGGCTGCGGCGTCCGCGTGCAGCCAGCGGGCGCCTGCTGCCTCCCTGGCTGGGGCCGGCGCCCCTCTGGGCAGCGCGGCGCCTGGGCCCGCGGTGCAGACCGTCAACGTGCACCTGACCCCTTGCGGGGCCGGCGGCTCGCCGGCCGGCGCGGCCCCTGGCGCGGGCCCTGCGACCCGGGACGTGGGTACGCAGACGGAGCCCGTGGAGCCGGCGCCCCGCCCGACTCCGGCCGCCCCGCTCCGTGCGCCCCGGGCGGCGCGCGCCGAGGCCTGGGCCTACGCGGTCTGGGCGAGCCCGGCTGCCCCGGACCTCGTGGGGGTCCACTGCGGCGCTCGGCGGGCTTGGGACGCCATCGCCGGGCGGATCGGCGGGTACCGCTCCTTCCGCGGCGACCGCCTGCGCCGCTTCGCCTCGGAGGACGAGGCGATTGCTGGCTACCTTGCCGAGGCCGACCGCCACGGCGCCCCAGTGCCGCCTCCCCTCCACCGCTGGTGAGGATGGCTCAGGAGGAGAACGCGTTCGACACTGGCGAGGAGGAGGACGAGGACCCCAGCGCCTGGTTTGGGCATGCCACGCCCCAGAACGTGGCGGCCTCGGCGTTGCTGCCCGCCCCTGCTGCTGGAGGGATCGCCGGGGAGTTCGGGCTCCTCACGCTGAAGGACGGCGTCGACTCGGACTACGAGGTCACGGTGGCGGCGCTGCGAGTGCGAGCCGACGCCCTCTCGACCGTGGCGGTGGTGCCCTCGGGCCGGCTCGACACTGCCTACGAAGCGATGCATCTGCCGGCCTGGGATCGCGTCGGGTCGCCTTTGGACGGCCAGCTGCTGTCGGCCGAGATCATGGAGGCCCCGAGCGCCTTGGTGAGGCGCTTCTCCCCCGCGCCCCCTGCCGAGGGCGAGGTCTACGCCTTCCACGACGATGGTTGGTGGCCCGACCCAGTGGCTGCTGTGAACGCGGTTCCCGCCGAGATGCTGGCCACTCTGGACTCTCTGCAGGGCGCTGGCGAGCCCGCGCTCGAGGCGACAGGCGCACCGCAGGAGATGGGGCCGGCGCCGTCCGCCTTCGGACCGCAGCTCCGCCCCCCTCTGGCGCCCGGGCTGCAGCCAGCGGCCGCCGGGGCTGGGTTCGGCGCGTGGTTCGCCGGGGAGGCCTCTCCGCTCCCTCCAGCCGCCGCGACGCCGCCGGGCGAGCTGTTGGAGCAGCAGCGGGCCGGCGCGGTCGAGGAGTTGAGGAGCCTGGCCGCGGAGGTGGCGGAGCTGAAGCGGCAGCGGGCAGCCTTGCACACGCAGCCAGCTGCTCCGCCCGCCGCCCCGAAGGCGCCGACCAGGAAGGCCCCCACCAGGAAGGCGCCGCAGCAGCAGCAGCAGCAGGTCCTGGAGCAGATCCTGGCCGGGCAGAACGCGCTCTTGGAAAGGGTCGCCGCCTTGGAGGCCGGCGCCGGGCCAGCTCGGAAGGCGGCGGCCCCTCCAGACGGCCACCCGCCTCCGGCGGCCAGCATGGCTCCGCCCTTCGGGCTCCTCGGCCCTCCTCCCCTCGGCGGTCCTCCGTCGGCGGCTCTCGGAGGCGGGGTGCTAGCCCCTCAGGGCCTGCCCGCCGCGCGCGCCGCTGCGGCCGCCGCCGGGCCACCTCCGCCCCGCCGGGGAGGCGCGGCGAACCCGTTCCTGCAGCGGCCCCCCTCCGGCCAGGCGACCGCGGGCCCCCAAGGCCCTGCTCCGGCGCCGGGCCCTCCGCCCCCGCCTCCACGCGGCTCTGCCCCTCCGCCAGCGGGCCAGACCGCGGAGCCCCAGCCCCCTGCGGCTCCCGCAGGAGCCGGCGGCCGCGAGGAGCAGCTGATGGCCCTGCTGGCCCAGCAGGCGCCATTGATGGGGGCCCTGGCTCAGAGCGGCGGTCGCCAACCAGACGCACTGTCGCTCCTGGCGGACGGCGGGCGCGACGACGGGCTTGGCGAGAGCGCGGGCATGCGACTTGGCGGCGCGCGCGGCGCTGCCGCCCTGGAGCTGTTCCGACGCCAGGTCCAGAGCAGCCCCCAGGCCGCCCCCGCCATGGCCCGGCGGAATCGCCAGCTCAACATGACGGGTGCCGCGAGCGAGGAGGGCATGAGCGACTCCACGCGGAACTACTTCGCTCGCAACGTCCCGTTCGGGCAGGCGAGGTCGTCGGCCTTCCTGGTGTTCGGCATGGCGGAGGTGTTCGACCTGATGGAGCGCGGCTCGTGGCACGCCGCCGAGGCTCAGCTGGCGCTCCTCCTCTGCGCGTCGGAGCAGGCGGCCCTGAGGGAATGGCGCTGGACGTCAGCCTGGCTGCTGACTCACCTGCCCGAGCCGCCCTGGACTTCGATCCGCCAGGCGCCGGCACGCGGGCAGATCCGCCCCATGTCCCGCTTGGCCTCGCCCGAGTGGGTCGCGGCAGCGATCGGCTACACCAAGGGCGCGCTGGCCCTCGAGGACGCGGAGCGGAAGCTGGCGCCGGCCGCAGCACCGAAGACCGAGGAGGGCGGAGGAAAGGGGGGGGTTCGAAGCGCCAAGGCAAGTCCGCTGGCGCGCCCCCTCACGAGTGAGAGCGGGGCTCCCTGGGCTGGCTGGCCCGGGAGCTCTGCATGGCGCTGCCCCAGCCTCTTGGCCGCGCGGACGCGCGGGGGACCGCAGGAGGCTGGCGGGCGGCAGCAATTCGCTGGACGTGGGCATCCGCTGGGGTTTTGGCCTGATCCGCCGCCTGCGCGGGCTCCGCACGGCCTTCGGCGCCTTCGTCCGCTCCTCCATGCACGCCGCTGGGTTCCTGGAGGTTGCGACTCCTGCCGCCGGTCTGCTGCCCTGCCCCCCGCCCTTCGGGTGGGCTGCTGGCCCCCCCCCGCGGGGCGTGCGCGCTCGCAGGCGATGGCTTCGCACTCACGTCGAGCACATGTGGGTCAACGCCGTCGTCCTCGCGCTCTCCCACCTGCACCTGGGCGAGTCGCGGAGCTGCCCGCCGCGCGCCCGCGCGGGGAGGCCTCTCAGTTCGTCTCAGTCCGAGATGGTGTCCAGGCTGAGTAGGCTTGTGCGACCGATGTGCCGGCCCCTGCAATGGCACGGTGGCCGCGCGGAGAAGGCCGACGCTCTGCTCGACTCGACTATCTCCTGAATGCGATGCAGCTCCCTTTGGGCGCCGTGGCGCCCTCTCCCGACTGCGAGGTGACGACCATCGACCCGAGCAAGGCTCCCTTCGCCAAGGCCGAGTGCCACTTCGACCCCCTGGCGTTCTTGGCCCCGTTTGCCGCCGCCACGTTCTTGGAGCCGCGGCTGCCGGCGCGGGATGGGCCGGGCGTCGGCCCTCTGGCGCGCGCGGTCGGGCCCCCGACCCGGCCCGCTCCGGCGAGGCCGGCCCGCCAGGCGGGCAAGCCTGGCGACCTCCTCCAGTACCTGAAGCAGTGGGATGACGTGGGGCGACTGGAGCTGGTCGACGCGGCCGACTCCCCGCAGGCCCTGCGAGGCACCCTGTTTCCCGTGTTCAAGGACGCCAACACGCAGAGGGTCGTCTTCAATCGCATCGCTCGCAACTCGGCTGAGTTGCCGCTGGGCGGCTTCTCCAGACTGACCCCGAGCGCCGCCATGCTGGTGGACCTGGAGGTGCCTGCTGGCTTTGTCCTGCGCGTCTGGGCGGACGACCTCCAGGACTTCTACCCCGCCTTTGACTGCACTCACGACATGGCTTGCACCAACGACGTGGCGCCCCCCCTCCCGACGAGGCCCTACGAGGGCTTCGCAGCGCTGGGCCGGCTTCGGGGGCGCTGCCGTCGTGAGGGCCGCGAGCTCCCCGAGAAGGTGGTTCCCTGCCATAGCGGCCTGATCATGGGGGGCCTGAACGCGCCCGACTGGGCGTGCGAGTCCCACATGCGGCTGCTCGCCCACGCTGGCAGCTTCCCCCCAGAGCGGCGGGTGCTGAACCGCCACCTCGCCCCCGAGGGGTCTGCCTGGGAGGGCGTCGTGCTGGACGACCACTTCGGCCTGGCTGTCGACGCTCCGGGCTCGCGGGAAGCTCGGCGAGCTATCGAGGAGCCCTTCGCCCGCGCGCGCGAGGGCTATGCTAAGGCTGGTCTCAGGGTCAGCGCTGGCAAGGAGGTGGCGGACGCGGCGGAGGCGACGGTCATCGGGGCAGAGCTCCTGGGCCACGACCGGCTCGTCGGCGCCTCCCACACCCGCAGTCTGGCGCTGGCCTGGATGGGCCTGTCCATGGCCCGGGGCCGACGCTCCACTACGCTGGGGCTGCAGAAGTTCCTTGGCATGGGGCTTTTTGCCGCGCTGTTCCGGCGGCCGACCCTGTCGCCCCCCCACCACTGCTACAAGGAGGTCGACGTCGGCCGCGACCCGCACGAGGTGTTCGACCTGAGCAGCGCGGCCTGCAACGAGTGCGCCCTGTTCGCGGTTCTCCTCCCGCTGATGGCCACCGACCTCTCCGCGGGTTGGGGGCCGCACGTTCTGGCCTCGGACGCCTCGCACTTGGCCGGAGCGTCCGTCAAGACGCCGGCCTCAGCGCCCACCGCCAGAGCTTTCTGGCGCCAGCGCGAGCAGCGAGGCACTCGTACGTGGCTGTGCCCCTCAGGCTGGGCTGCCCTGGCCAACCCCGAGGACGGCGCCGTCCTGCAGGACCTGGAGGAGGATGCCGCACCTCCCCCTGGCGTCGTCGACCCGACGGCCTCGCTCATCGAGTACTTCGACGTGCTGGAGCTCTGCTGCGGGGAGGAGGCCCGCCTCATGGGCTACCTCTCGGGCCGGGGCCTGCGCACGGGCCCGAGGATAGACATCAAGTGCCACAAGTACTGGGACCTGGTCGACTCGCGCCGGAGTGGGTAGTATGGCTTATCTGGCAGAGGCGCGTCAAGATGACCATATCGCAGGTTCCATGCACCAGCTTCTCGATCGCGAGGCACCCGAGGCTCAGGTCCAGGATGCGGCCCTGGGGATTCGACCCATCTTCGACCCCGACGCGTCTGGGGAACGTCCTCTTCAGGGTGGGCATGCTGGCGCTGTTCGCCCACCTGGTCTCGGGCCACGGTACCGGCTTGCACGAGCATCCCCTGACGGCCTACTCCTGGTGCACGCACATCGTCGAGTTCCTGCTGACGCACGAGGTCGTGGACCGCTTCGACCTCTCGATGTGCCAGTTCGGCGCGCCCTGGAAGAAGGACGCTAGCCTCCTGGTCGTGCGGGGCTCCTGGCTGGCGCTATGGCGAGGCGCTGTCGCGGAGGGCACAAGCACACCGTCTTGGAGGGCGGCCTTACTCCCAAAGCCGCGCTCTACCCGCACGGCTTCTGCGACGAGCTGTCCAAGCTGATCGCCGACAACCTGGGCGGGCCGACTCCGCCGCCACCGGCGGAGAGTTCGGCGCCCGCTGGAGCGTTCGAGGCCCTCTGGCTGAACGACTACGTCGGCTCCGCTCCCTGGCAGCTCCACTGCCACCGCCCTTTCCGCAAGCCCCTCCACATCAACTTGCTGGAGATCGACGCGGCCTGCGACGCGGTGGACGAGCAGGGCCTACGGTTCCCCGATTGCAAGCACAACCTCCTCCTGGACCCCCGCGTCTCGATCGGGGCCATCAGCAAGGGCCGCTCCTCATCGACTGCGATCAACAAGCTCTTGAGAAGGAGGGCCGTTGCAGCTGGCCACGGGCTCGTACGTCGGATGCCACTTCGCGCCGACGCGCCTGCAGCCAGCCGACGCCCCGTCGCGCACGCTCTGCGACCCGGCGAGCGCTCTGGCCCGCGGGGCCGAGGCTCCGCCTCCCGCTCCGTGCTGGCTGGCCGGCCTCGAGGCCGGGGACGCCTCAGCCTTCCGCGCTTGGGCTGCGCTCCCGCTGCAGCGCCGGCAGCAGTCACGGTGGGCTTGGCTGGTGGCGTGCCTCTGGTGGCGCGGGCTCCTGCAGCTCGCCCCTCGACCGCGGGTGCGCGACCCCGCGCTGGGCTTCCCGGGCGAGGGCCCGCGCGGCGGAGGCGGCTTGCCGGGGAGGCCCCCCATGGAGGTGAGCAGGGTTTCATCCCCTGGTCGGGTGACGGCCCGGCCCCTCCCGGGCACGGCCAGCCTCCATCAGGGTCGGGTTCGTGGAACCCCGGCACCGGCCCGCTGCAGCCTGGCCGGCGCGGCCGCTGGGCCGCTTTTTCGGGCTCTTCTTGGTGCTGCTGCTGCTGCGGGGCCCTGCTGCCGCGCCGCGCCCGCCGACCGCCCGCCCCGCGGGGGTGGGCTTGGCGGCCACGCGCGGCCTGACGCCAGTGGTCCAGGCGCGCCGTGCTGCCCTCGTCTCGCAGCTCCAGCACTGGCTGGCGGGCTGCGGCGGGCCCAGCTGGGACCTGTTCATCCTGATGGACCCAGCTACGGTGGCTCGCTACCTGGCTAAGCACGGCCAGTTTTTGTACGACACGATGCGGAGCCGCCACGACTACGACGAGACGATCAATGCTGTGGTGGACGCAAATCGTGCCCTCCGACACCGGCTCGACGCTGCGTGGGACATCTCTTTCACGTGGAAGCACTTGACGCCTGGCTCGAACCACCAGGCGATGCCGGAGGCGCTGCTGCTCGCTTCTGTGAGCTTGGCACTGGCGTGGGGCTGGTGCGACGTCGCCGGCTGCCTGCTCCTCGGCTTCTTCGGGATGATGAGGCCCTTCGAGCTCCTGAGGCTGAGGTTCGGGGACCTTGTGCTCCCCTCGCGGACGTTAGAGCGTCTGCAATCAATGTATGCGCACGTTGGCGCGCCCAAAATGAGACGCCTAGGCGCGCGCCGCGAGCACATCAGGATTGATGTCCCACAAGTTGTGCATTTCTTTGAGGCCCTCTCACTTCGGTCCTCCCCTCGCATCCCTCTCATGCACGGAGGTGCCCGTGTTTTCAGATCATGTCTGGATGCCCTCATGGATTTTTTCGAAATTAAACATTCAGACAAAGTTGGCATCACCCCCGCGCCCCTCCGCCCGGGAGGGGCCACGTTTGGGTATAGGCTCACAGATTCGCCAGACTGGTTTCGCCACAGGGGCAGGTGGCTCTCCAGTAGGATGCTAAAGATTTACATCCAGGAGGTCGGGGCTAGCACGCTCCTCGCGGACCTCCCGAGTCCCCTCCGTAGTAAGGTCCGGCTTTTCGCCGAGGCTGCCAGCGACCTCCTTTTCGAGGCCACCTGGCAGCTTCTGTCTTCGAGTCGTTTGCCGAGGCCGAGCGACGTCGACCCCCGCCCTTCCGGTCACCGTCCTCGTGCGCCGCCGCCGCTGCCAACAGAGCTCTTCGGTGCCCGCTTCGCTCCTCCCTCCCCCGCCCCGTCTTCCACCATGAGCGGATGTGGCTAGTCGAGGCCGGCCCCAACCGTGGCCGTCCTCGAGCTGTCAGATGTTTGCAGAGGCAGTGGTGAGCCCGGAAAAGTGCATCGGCCTTGGGTTTAAGAGGAGCTTTTTCAGCAGAGGAAGGGCATCGCTGATTGCAGTGATTCCTCGACGCGCGGGGGCTCTGGCTTCAAGCTCTCCCGTGCCCGCCCACCCTTGGCTAGTCGAGGCCGGCCCCAACCGTGGCCGTCCTTGAGCTGTCAGATGTTTGCAGAGGCAGTGGTGAGCCCGGAAAAGTGCATCGGCCTTGGGTTTAAGAGGAGCTTCTTCAGCAGAGGAAGGGCATCGCTACATACATCTATATACACATACATACATACATACATACATACATACATACATACATACATACATACACATGTACATATATGTATACATATATATATATATATGTATATATAATTGTGTACAGGACAATACATTCATACATCTATACATACACCTATATATATATAGAGAGAGATGTATCCATACATCTACACAAGACTGCAGTGGCGCTTCGCGCCATGCACCTTAGTCCTTGAAGTTTGGCATGCAGGCGGAATGGCAGGAAGGCCAAGCCGACAAGTTTGCAATAATTCCTTGTTGCCTTTTTCCGGCATCACCGTTATAAGAATGTGATCCGTTATCCTTATTCCATGTTTATTTTTCTTCATACTCGCAACCCCCTGCGCATGCTCCACATCCTCCTCAGCTCTTTTTGCGAAGGCTCCTCCTTGGACAGCATCAGGGAACCTCACAAAAAGTTGTTCATGCCGTGCTAAGGCCTTCTGAAGGCCTCCTGGGCGTGTTCTGGGGGTCTCTGGGGGCTTCTTCGAGCCACCCTGTCTCCAACCGCGGTCTCCCTGCACGATTGGGTCACGATTTGGAATGCTTCGGAGGGCGTCTTGGGGCCATCTTGGGCAGCCATGGGGCTCTCTTAGGGCCATCTTGGACCCTTGTTGTGCCGTTCTGGGGCTGTCTTGGACTGCCTGGAAGCCTTTTCGGATGGTTGTGGGGCGATTTTGGAGCCTCCCAGGCGGTTTCGAACACCTAGAAGACCGCCGTTTGGAGTGTCGGGAAGCCGATTATCCCAGTGCGACCCTACCTAGGAGTTGGAGCATTTAGGAAAGCAACATCTACATCTACACCGACAGTTACATTTACATCTACACCTGCATCTACATCTACATCAACATCAACAGCGAGACTCACATCTACACCTATATCTACATCTACACCTACATCTACATCTACACCTGCACCTACATCTACATCTACATCTACACTTTCGTTTTGGTTTTGTTTTTGCTTTGCATTGCCTTTGCTTTTGCTCGTTCTCTTGCCACCTGGTGCCGAGGCGGGCTGTGCAGCACCGCTGAAAGCCTCACTCCGCCAACCTCGGGACATGAGCGTGAGCGGCTGTGTGGCAGGGCCTCCGGGCTTGAGCCGAAATGGCTACGGAAGGCACTGCTTGCGGGGGCTCCGGTCCGGCCATCGAGGCTAGCTCGGCATCTGTCGCACATTGCTTTTGCTTTGCCTTTGCTTTGCGTTTGCTTTTGCTGTTGCTTTGCTTTGCTCTGCGTTGCTTGTGTTTTGCTTTGCTGTTGCTGCTGTTGCTTTGCTTTGCTGCTATGCTATGCTATGCTATGCTATGCTATGCTGCGCTATGCTATGTTATGCTACGCTAGGCTGCGCTATATCATGCTAGGCTATGGTATGCTATGCTATGTTGCGTTATGCTATGCTATGCTGTGCCATGCTGCGTTATGCTATGCTATGCTATGCTATGCTATGCTATGCTATGCTGCGCTATGCTATGTTATGATATGATGGGCTATGTTATGAGATACTAAGCTAAGCTAAACTAAGCTAAGCTAAGCTACAGCTACAGCTACAGCTACAGCTACAGCTAAGCGAAGCTAATATGAAGCTAAGCTAAGCTAAGCTAAGCTAAGATGAGATACGCAAAGCTCAGGTAAGGGGGCGCAACTGGGGGAACCGCGGGGCGGGGACCGGGGGAACCGCCCGGGGCGAGGAACACTGCCCGGCCCCTTTAAGCTAATAGAGTAAGAACCCTCTATAGCAGAGCCTAGGTAGGGATAAAGAGGAGAACCCAAAAATTCACCAAACACCCACAGAAAATCAATGATGTTTGCCTCTTGGGGCCTTCTTGGGAGTTCTCTTGGAGGCCTCTCGGGACGTTTCGGAGCGATCTTTGGGGTATGACGGCTTCTTGGGGGTCATCGTGGACCGCATTGGGGCTCTTTGGGGTCGTTTCGGGAGCGCGCCAGAACGCCTGGAACCCGTCTGGGGCCGTCTTCGGGCTCTTGTGAGAGGTTCTCCCAGGTCGTCTGAAGGGTTGCCCGAAGGCCCGGGGAGGGCCAAATTCGTTGGGCGGGTGGGGAGCTTTTTCCGGCGTCCCCGGCCCTATATTTTTTTTAAAGATAGGAGTATGTTTCATATATATATATATATATAGAAAGAGAGAGAGAGAGAGAGAGAGAAAGCGAGAGAGAGAGAGAGATAAAAAAAAGAAGGAAGGGAGGGAGAGAGATAGAGATAAAGAGGGATGCGGACACCCCCTCGGCCCCAGAGTCCATGTTGGCGCGTGACAGACAGATGCGCGAGACATGGATAAAACTCCTTTTCACGTTTTGTTTCAGCGGCATGTACGTAGTTGACGACACGGCTTCTTCACATGTATGCGAATCTTGCAGGTTGCACGCGGAACGCTGGCACAACAGCTGCGCAAGATCTCGCCAGAAAGCTGGACCAGGTTTCTGAATCGGGCTCTCGCATACTCATAACACTGGCTGCAGAGGGAGATGGTAACACCCCCTTGCCCCACCGATCGGTGGTGATGCATGCATGGGCGGTGGTGCTGCAGTCCGACCAACTCGGCCCACCGAATCTCCCTCTCCGCCAATCCTCGGAGGCCTCGAGGTTGACACCAACACCAATATCGGCGGTGTGCTTCCACCGAGGGAGGATGATCCCGATCTCGGTGATGGTGGTAACATTCTGGCTTCCTAGGTGCCCCAAAAATTACCACCAACACCAAAATTCGGGATCATCTTCCTCCCGTGGAGGCAACCCCTGGTGCTGGTGTTGGTGTCCATTTCCAAGCTTCCAAAACCCCACACAATCAGTGATTTCCATATGCAGTGTCATGCCAGAACGTCTTCCTCCTTCATCGGGCAGCTTCTATGGGAACGCTTCTGCAAGGACAGTGGAGGTCCCCAAGAAGCGGAAGTCCAGGTGGTTGGGAAGTGACTGGGGGTGTTGGGGGGTGCAGGGAAACTGCGGGGGCCGGCTCAGGACGACAAACGACATGGGACGGAAGTCTCAGAAGGAAGGTGCACGGTGGACCAAGGTTGGAGGCTCTCTCTCCCTCTCTCTCTCTCCCTCTCTCTCTCTCTCTCGCTTTCTCACGCCTCTGGGTCGGCGAGTCTGGAGCCTGGGGGCTGCCCCAGGGGGCACGCTTCCCAGCTGCCTTGGAACGCCTGCTTGAAAGATTTCGGATGCTCATTGGATCTGTTGACGCTTCTCTCCCATGGCCTGTACGTTCTGGAGCTTTGGCTTCGCGTGTCGCACCGCTGATTCTGGCCCACCACGCTTCGGCACGACACGCTAACTACTTACCCATTTCCAAGCGTCAACGTCCCGCGCCTTTCCTCGCCCTCCGCGGAACTAAGCGGAGCGACATGCTGTCCGCTTGCAGGGCATAGCGTGTCGCCAGGGGGTTGTCGCCGCAGCATGCTAAGCAAACGTTCCCGTCCGGCGCCGCCCCTGGCGCGCTCCACGCGCCAGGGAGAAGGGTCCAACGCAGATGCAAGACATCCGCGCAGAACGTCGAAAGTTCATGCCAAAATTGTTGTCTCTTTCTCTAGGGATCGATCTTCGGGGGCCCTGTCAGGCGGTGGATGTGGACATAAATTCGCCCCCCCCCCCCCCCAAGGCCCGAAGATGTCCAGAGCCTTTTCAGAGATCGCCTAGCCCATGATTCGTGGTGGTTTACTGTGTCCGTTCGTGCCCAGCCCTCGTCTCCGAGCTGGCTGCGCGGGCAAGAGTTGAAGAAGCGTAGTCGTTTCGCCAGGGGGGAAACGCGTCCTGAGGGAAACGGGTCTTGAGGTCGTTCGCAGTTTTCGAGCTCTCGGGGCTTTCCACGGACACCGGGGACCGTCAGAAATCGACTCAAGATGAAGAATTGGTCCTGGGGGAAGGCCCCAGGGTCCAGGACCTGTTTCCCTTAGGACTTGTTTCCCTCATGCTAATCATGAAGCAATGCTAGTGGATTAGCGGCGGTTGGTGCTTCCGTGCAGAATTGGCGCAATCCGTCGGCAAATCGGGCGGCATTGGCCTCATGTTTCGGGAGTTACATTCCCCGATCCGTGGATCTGGCGCCCACGCGCTGGATCCACGGACACCCAATCCCATGTGAGCGAGTAATTAGCCGAATGAGCGGGCAGTGGCGGAGGTGATGGCGGAGGTGCGCCGCCCGCCGGGACGGGGGCAGAGTGGCGAGTTTGGTCCCCGACGACGTGTTTTTTCCGCTCCGCACCCAGGAACCGTTGAAGTAACAAAAACACATTCAAAAAAGGAGGCCCTCGCTTGTCCTTCCCCCCCCCTCCCTCCCTCGTCCTCTTGTCCCCTCCCCTTCACATCCCCCCCTCCCCCTGGCCAGAGCAAGCGAGCGCGTGTCTAGGTCATGTTTCACCTATCCTCGCGAGCGTGCCAAACATGCACAACGCAGTCCTGCCTGTGCGCCCTTCTTGGGCGCACGGCCTTCGACTCGACTCGAGGCTTCGCTGCCTCGGGAGGTGCGCGCGGGCGGCGCGCCAGGCGGACGTCGCCGTCCACGTGCTGGCGGAGCTCGCGGACGCCGGGGCGCTGATCCCGGAGGTGCTCGGCGTGCTGAGGCCGCCTGCCGCGACGGACGTTGCGGCCTCCCAGCGGGGCAGTCCCACGGGGCCCCCAGGCCCCCAAAACTGTTCCCTAGAGGCCCCCGAGAGCGCTCCGAGGAGGCCCCGAGGACTCTGACCCGCGTCAGCGTCGTCAGCGTCGTCGTCGTCGTCGTCGTTGTCGTTGTCGTTGTCGCCGTCGCCGTCGCCGTCGCCGTTGTCGCCGTCGCCGCCGCCGCCGCCATCGTCGTCGTCGTCACCGAGCCAGCCACGCGGAGAGAGGGGTATGTGGGAGAGGGGAAGGTTTCTTAAAAGCACTCCTGCTTCTTAGAAGGCGCGAGCCTTCTCTGTAGATGTAGGGCTGCCGCCTTCGAACTTCCCCCCCTACCCATTTGTGTGCCCCGCCGAAAGGGGCTCCGCAACCTTTGCGAGGCGTATCCCCTCGCGGAGCAGCACCTGCTGCAGGTCTGCCACCGTCAACTCCTGAGGGAAAAAGCCGAGTTCCCGCCTGCCCCGCACCTGTCCGCAGATGAGGGCGAGTTGAGACAGCCGTAGTTGGCCTTTGGAGGGCCCCTCGTCGCCACGGCTGGACGCAGCTCGGATGGTGCGTTTGGGCCCCTGGAATGTCTGGGGACCGATTTCGAGCTGTTGTTGTCTCAACTCGCCCTGGTCAGATATACGGGGCGCTCCAGATAGGGCCTTGCCCTCGCTGATCGAAGCAGTTGACATCTCGAGAGAAGACGCACGATGACCATGACCAAGATGTCGCGGGATTTTGTCGGCGCTGATCTGAGGCCACAGTCCATGCCGATCGTCGCCGATTCACAAGGATGGTCCACGAATCAACGGTGACCAAGATGGACGATGACCAAGATCAAAACCGACGTTTCCGCGTTCAGTCTTGGTCATGGTCGCAGTCATCCTTCCCTCTAGTCTCTTCCACGAAAGGCCAGAGGAAGGCCTGCGGAAGGCGGCGGGAGTAAAACGGCACTGGCATTGGTGTTGGCGTAGGCGCCAGAGTTGGTGCTGGCGTCGGTGCTGGTGGAGACGTTGGCGTCGGTGCCAGCGTAAGCGCAAGCGTTGGTGCTGGCGTAGGCGCAGAAGGTGGTGCTGGCGCATGCGCCGGCGTCGGTGCTGGTGGAGGCGCTGGCGCTGTAGCTGGCGTAAGCGGAGGCGTTGGTCCTGGCGTCGGTGTTGGTGTAAGTAGGCGATGGCGCAGGCGAAGGTGGATGCGTTGGTGCTGGCGTCGGTGCTGATCTAAGTGCTGGGGTTGGTGCCGGCGCAGGCGCAAGTGGTGCCGCTGTAGGCGCAGCATTTGGTGTTGGCGTTGGTGCTGGCGTCGATGTTGTAGGCGCTGGCGTCAGTGCCAGCTTAGACGCAGGCGTTGGTGCCAGCACTGGCGTCGCTGCCGTCGTAGACAGGCGTCAGTACTGGCTTCGGCGCTGGCGTGGGCACCGGTGAAAGTGCCAACGCCAGTTCTAGTTTGGTTCAGAGAACGGTGCTGGGAGCGGTGCTGGTGTAGGCGCAGGAGTTGGTGCCGGCGTAGGCGCTAGCGGTGTTGCTGGCGTCGGTATTGGTGTAGGCGCTGGCGTTGGCGTGGGCGTAGGCGCTGGCGTCGGTGCCGATGTAGGTGCCGGCGTCGGTGCTAGTGTAGGCTCAGGCGTTGGTGCTGGCGTAGGCGCAGGTATTGGTGCTGGCGTCGATGCTGGTGTAGTCGCTGGCGTTGGTGCTGGCGTAGGCGCCAGTGCTGGTGCTGGCGTCGGTGCGGGCGTCGCTGTTGCAAGCGTTGGCGTCAATGCCAGCATAGGCGCAGAAGTTGGTGCTGGCGTAAACACTGGCGGAGGTGCTGGCGTTGGGCTTGGCGTCTTCACCAGCGTTGGTGCTGGCGTCGGTGCTGACGTCGACGGTGTAGGTGCACGCGATGGCGTAGGCGAAGGCGCAGGCTTTGGTACTGACGTCGGTCATGGTGTAGGCGCTGGCGTTGGTGCTGGCGTAGGCGCCAGCGTCGGTATTGGTGGAGGCTCAGGCGTTGACGCTGGCGTAGGCGCAGACGTTGGTGCTATCGTCGGTGTCGATGTAGGTGCCGGCGTCGGTGCCGGCGTAGGCGCAGGCGTTGGTGCTGGCGTCGGTGAAGACGTCGATGGTGTAGGCGCCGCTGATCCATACCAAGCTGGGTCATTCTCCAGTATAGTTAATCTGGTAAGGTTGCGCCCTCCACTGGAGGGCTTGAGGGTAAACGCGGCCAGCCGGTGCACTACCATGATCTCCTTATCCGTCATCCCGTGGACCTCCGAGCCAGGTTGACGACCCGCGAGGGCTTCAGCGATGAATGCCTTAGCCATACGTCTTCCAAAAATTCACCGTTGTCGGACCTATCTCCTGGTCCGCCTAGAAGCTGCCGAGAGGCGAGCCTTCGCCCTAGTTTTAAGGCCACGAACACGACGAGAGGTCCCAGCGATGTGATCTATGCCGCCTTGGGGCCCACAAGGGCCCCGAACTCGGCCTCCCAACGGGAGGAGACCATCCTAGAAGAAGCCACACAGGCAACCTTATCCATCGAAACCTGGGCCCTCATCATCACAGTGATGGTCGTGCGGCGAGCCTTAGTGGACTCACGCAAGCTGTAAACAAGCTCTTCGGCCGTGCCGACAGAGTTCAAGGAGGAAAATGAAAGTAACATTGAACAGGAGGATGAAGAGGAGGAAGATGAGGTAGAAGAAAATGATGGAAAGCGGAGGGGGAAGAAGGAGAAGAGGAGGGAGAGGAGGAGGAGGAGGAGGAGGAGGAGGTGGTGCAGAAGGAGGAGGAGGAGGAGGAGGAGGAGGAGCAGAAGGAGGAGGAGGAGGAGGAGGAGATGGAAGGAGGTGGAGGAGGTGGAGGAGGAGATGGAAGGAGGTGGAGGAGGTGGAGGAGGTTGAGGAGTGGATGACGGGCCGTCGAAGGGGCAGCGGCTCCCAGGCCGCCCGTGCTGCAGCACCTGCCGCTCGCCGAGCTTGTGCGCCTGGTAGCGAAGCTGGGCGCTCGAGGGCGCGCGCCCGACCCGAAGAGCCAGGGGGAGCAGGGAGGGGGCCTCCTCTTCCTGCACCTCCTCCTCCTCCTCCTCCTCCTCCTCCTCCTCCTCTCCTCCTCCTCCCCCTCCTCCTCCTCCTCCTCCTCCCCCCTCCTCCTCCCCCCCCCCCCTCCTCCTCTCCTCCTCCTCCTCCTCCTCTCCTCCTCCTCCTCCTCCCTCCTCCCTCCTCCTCCTCCTCCTCCCCTCCTCCTCCTTCTCCTCCTGCCCTTTTTCCCTCCTCCTCCTCCTCCTCCTCCTCCTCCTCCTCCTCCTCCTCCTCCCCCTCCTCCGCCTCCTCCTCCACCTCCTCCTCATCATCCATTCGTTTTCCTCATAAATAACTCCGTGTCGCACCCCGAGGCCGGTCGAAAGGGCGAGCCGGGCATTTCTCCTGATACGTCTTCACCACTCAGGACCCTGATGCTTAAAAATTGTAAACAGTTTCACAAATGGAGGGTGGGTGGTTTTCAAAATGTGGTTCTCGTCAGCTTCGCGGATGGAGGGCGGGCGGTTTTCACAATGTGGTTCTCGCTTTAGCGCCGCGCACATTCGGTCTACAATTTCGCAAGAGTTTCACGTATTGAGGAAGGTTCGTTTTCAACGTGTTTCTCGCTGTTTTGCGCCGCGCACATTCTTATAAACGTGTGCCAGAGCTTCACGGATAGAGGGCGGCTCGTTTTCAACATGTGGTTCTCGCCTCAGCGCCGCGCACATTCGTTTTAAGAGTTTGCAAGAGTTTCGCGGATTGAGGGCGGTTCGTTTTCAAGATGTGGTTTTCGCCTGAGCGCCGCACGTACTCGTTTTAAGAACTTGCAAGACCTTCACGGACTGAGGGCGGTTCCTTTTCAAAATGTGGTTCTCGCTTCGACGCCGCGCACACTCAATTAAACAAATGCCAGAGTTTCACGGATTAAGGGCGGGTGATTTTCAACATGTGGTTTTGGCCTTTAGCGTTGCGCACATTCGCATCAAACAGTTGCAAGAGCTTCACACTGATCGAGGGCGGCTCCTTTCCAAAATGTGGTTCTCGCTTTAGAGCCACACACATTCGCTTTACATAGTTGCAACAGTTTCATCAGTTCTCATGGTTAACGTGCCAAGAAAGCGTGTTTGGGATCGGTTCAGAACTGTCTGGGCGCAACATTTACGTTGATTCGCGGCGTTGAACTCCCAGGAATGGCGTTCTGGCGCGATTCAATATCGCCAGGTTGTAACAGTCAGGTGAACTCGTGGCGTTGATGTCCTGAGAATGGTGTTTTGGCACGCTTCAAGATGTTCACACGGTTGTCTCCCAACGGGGCAATTCCCTCAGTGGAAATGGCCCCTTGTAGGGGGCCTCTGAAGAGGGATCTTGGAGGGAGGGTATATTTCAACATCGTTGATAAGTCTTGGGTTGACACTGGTCCTCCTCCTCCTCCTCCTCCTCCTCCTCCTCCACCTCCTCCCCCTCCCAACTGTAGCCATTTGGCTCAAGACCTTGTGTCCGCGTGGTCCTCAGCATGCAAGCAGGCATGCACTTGGAGTGCCACGGCCGCGCGCCTGCGTGCGCGAAGCTGGCGATTGCGACGGCGCAGAATCGGATGAAACATTACGCACGCCGCCCAGGCCCCTCCCCCCCGCAAACATTGATTTGTCGCAGGACCCCACCATATGCAGCCGCGAGTGCCGCATCTGTGAACACCGTCTTCGGAGGAGCTCTTCATGGGGCACGAACCGTGTGAGGGGTGTGCCAAAGTAGACTGGCGGCGGCACGCCGGCGTCGCCATTGGGGCCTTCGGTGAAGCTCCCTATAGGGCATTCGGCGTGGTTCCCTCTGTCCGTGATCTGATTGAGGGGGGTGGCGAGAAAAGCTAAACCGTCCAAGATTGTCCTTCCCTTCTTTTTCCCAACCCTCCTATGGTTGGGTACTCGTTTTGAATACAGCAGTGTGGTCGCCCCGGCCTCCTTCTACTCCTCTCCCCTCCTCCCCTCCTCCTCTCCTGTCTCCTGTGTTCCCCTCTCCTCTTCTCTCGTACCGTCGGGCTGCGATCTGCGCAACTGTCGCCACTTTCGTGGGCTCCTGGGAGGCCCAGCGGAGGTACGTCCAACGCGGACCACCTCGAGACCTCGCGGCACCCTGGGGGGCTGCGATCTGCGCAACTGTCGCCACTTTCGTGGGCTCCTGGGAGGCCCAGCGGAGGTACGTCCAACGCGGACCACCTCGAGACCTCGCGGCGCCCTGGGGGGCTGCGATCTGCGCAATTGTCGCCACTTTCGTGGGCTCCTGGGAGGCCCAGCGGAGGTACGTCCAACGCGGACCACCTCGAGACCTCGCGGCGCCCTGGGGGGCTGCGATCTGCGCAATTGTCGCCGCTTTCGTGGGCTCCTGGGAGGCCCAGCGGAGGTACGTCCAACGCGGACCACCTCGAGACCTCGCGGCGCCCTGGGGGGCTGCGATCTGCGCAACTGTCGCCATTTTCGTGGCCTCCTGGGAGGCCCAGCGGAGGCACGTCCCAAGCGGACCACCTCGTGACCTCGCGGTGCCCTGGGGGGCTGCGATCTGCGCAATTGTCGCCACTGTCGCGGGCTCCTGGGAGGCCCAGCGGAGGTACGTCCAACGCGGACCACCTCGAGACCTCGCGGCGCCCTGGGGGGCTGCGATCTGCGCAACTGTCGCCACTTTCGTGGGCTCCTGGGAGGCCCAGCGGAGGTACGTCCACGCGGACCACCTCGAGACCTCGCGGCGCCCTGGGGGGCTGCGATCTGCGCAACTGTCGCCACTTTCGTGGGCTCCTGGGAGGCCCAGCGGAGGTACGTCCAACGCGGACCACCTCGAGACCTCGCGGCGCCCTGGGGGGCTGCGATCTATCGCCACTTTCGTGGGCTCCTGGGAGGCCCAGCGGACGTTCGATGCGAGGCCCAGGCGCGGAGGTACGTCCCACGCGGACCACCTCGTGACCTCGCGGTGCTTTGGGGGGCTGCGATCTGCGCAATTGTCGCCGCTTTCGTGGGCCGTTGGGAGGCCCAGCAGAAGTACGTCCCCACGCGGGCCACCTCGAGACTTCGCGGCGCCCTGGGGGGGCTGCGATCTGCGCAATTGTCTCCAGTTTCGTGGGCTCCTGGGAGGCCCAGCGGAAGTACGTCCCACGCGGACCACCTCGAGACTTCGCGGCGCCTTGGGGGTGCTGCGATCTGCGCAACTGTCGCCATTTCCATGGGCTCCTGGGAGGCCCAGCAGAGGTACGTCCCACGCGGACCACCTCGAGACCTCGCAGTGCCCTGGGGGGCTGCGATCTGCGCAATTGTCGCCGGTTTCGTTGGCTGTTGGGAGGCCCAGCGGAAGTACGTCCCACGCGGACCACCTCGAGACCTCGCGGCGCCCTGGGGGGCTGCGATCTGCAAAATTGTCTCCAGTTTCGTTGGCTCCTGGGAGGCCCAGCGGAAGTACGTCCCACGCGGACCACCTCGAGACCTCGCGGCGCCTTGGGGGGTTGCGATCTGTGCAATTGTCGCCACGTTCGTGGGCTCCTGGGAGGCCCAGCAGAGGTACGTCTTACGCGTTGCCGCTGCTCTTCTTGCTGCGCTCTTCTGAGTTCATTGATGGGTGCTCTTCTTTCCGCACTCCGAATGTAACCACCACGTGTATAGAAACGGTTGGGTACGTCGCCATCCCATCTGCGCCCGCGCATTCCAAACAATTGTCGCCACTTTCGCTGGCTCCTGGGAGGCCCAGCGAAGGTGGGTCCCACGCGGGCCCTGGGGGTTGCGATCTGCGCAATTGTCGCCACTCTCGTGGGCTCCTGGGAGGCCCAGCGGAGGTGGGTCCCACGCGGATCACCTCGAGACCTCGCGGTGCCTTGGGGGGCTGCGATCTGCGCAATTGTCGCCACGTTCTTGGGCTCCTGGGAGGCCCAGCGGAGGTGGGTCCCACGCGGATCACCTCGAGACCTCGCGGCGCCCTGGGGGCTGCGATCTGCGCAATTGTCGCCATTTTCGCGGGCTCTTGGGAGGCCCAGCGGAGGTGGGTCCCACGCGGATCACCTCGAGACTTCGCGGTGCCTAGGGGGCTGCGATCTGCGCAATTGTCGCCGCTTTCGCAGGCTCCTGGGAGGCCCAGCGGAGGTGGGTCCCACGCGGATCACCTCGAGACCTCGCGGTGCCCTGGGGGCTGCGATCTGCGTAATTGTCGCCACTTTCGTTGGGCTCCTGGGAGGCCCAGCGGCGGTGGGTCCCACGCGGATCACCTCGAGACCTCGCGGTGCCTTGGGGGGTGCGATTTGCGCAATTGTCGCCATTTTCGTGGGCTCTTGGGAGGCCCAGCGGAGGTGGGTCCCACGCGGATCACCTCGAGACCTCGCAGCGCCTTGGGGGCTGCGACATGCGCAATTGTCGCCACGTTCGTTGGCCCCTGGGAGGCCCAGCGGAGGTGGGTCCCACGCGGATCACCTCGAGACCTCGCGGTGCCCTGGGGGGTTGCGATCTGCGCAATTGTCGCCACTTTCGTGTGCTCCTGGGAGGCCCAGCGGAGGTGGGTCCCACGCGGATCACCTCGAGACCTCGCGGTGGTGCCCTGGGGGCTGCGATCTGCGCAATTGTCGCCATTTTCACGGGCTCCTGGGAGGCCCAGCGGCGGTGGGTCCCACGCGGATCACCTCGAGACCTCGCGGTGCCCTGGGGGGTGCGATCTGCGCAACTGTCGTCATTTTCGTGGGCTTCTGGGAGGCCCAGCGGTGGTGGGTCCCACGCGGATCACCTCGAGGCCTCCTTGTGCCCTGGGGGCTGCGATCTGCGCAACTGTCGCCACTTTCGCGGGCCCATTGGAGGCCCAGCGGAGGTGGGTTATCCACCGCCACTTTCGACCTCCCACGCGGTGAGACCTCGCGGTGCCCTGGGGGGCTGCGATCTGCGCAATTGTCGCCACGTTCTTGGGCTCCTGGGAGGCCCAGCGGAGGTGGGTCCCACGCGGACCACCTCGGGACCTCGCCGCCCCCTGGGGCGC